GGCACTGCAAGATTTCCAAGATCTGAATGCCACCAGTCCCATCTACATGGTCTGCGACTCGCTGACTTCCAAGAAGGCACTGCCCATCGAACAGCTGCCCGTGATCTTCCGCAACATGGCCGAGTACTTGAATCTCCAGTGCGTTCCGGCGGAGGCGGGAGTGGGTTTGGCCGTCTGGTCACAGGCGATGCAGGCCATGGAGTCGCTCCTGCGCCAGGTGATCGTTATTATGCCCAGTCTGACCAATGCGGAGTACATGCTGGACATCATCGCGGCCACCTTGAGACTCAACTGTGTGCCAAAGACACTGCTTGATCCGTACTCCAAGATCATGGCCTATTGCGTTCAGCACACCAATCTGGAGTACCAAACGCTCTACGAGCTGTGCACTCTGAATATTAGGTCATTTAGCAAGGATCGGGACAAGAACCTGCTGTGCCGTCAGATGATCTTTGAGTTTGTCCAGGCGCTCAAGTTCAAAACGAATATTCCGGATCATAATCTACTCACCATCATTGGATTTGTGCTCCTCGATGCTGGCGGAACTCTGCCTCCAGGATCTGCTCCTGGCTTGCCCGATGCAGCTCCCATGATGACCACCAACTCCGCGGATTGCTTGAGGCAGTATATCAACGATGTCATAGACTTTTTGGCCGATTTCCACACACTCAGCAAGATCAAGGTGGGTATGCTTTAATATCTCATGACTAGCCATTAAATATTTTTCTTTAGAACATCAAGAATGGCCAGACGAGCAATGGCCTAGGCGAAGACACCTTGGGCGGAGTTCTCAAAGGAGCAGTGGCCCAATACCTGGCCCTCGAAATGTCGCGCGGCAATTCCAGGGACAACAAAGCGGTTTCCCGCTATCTCCCCTGGTTAAACAATGCTCCATCCTCCCTTCAGCAGGGGTAAGTCCATAATGAGGATCACCTCCTCACAAATTACTAAAATATACATCCGTAGACCGAAGGAATTCACCGAGTGCGTGGGCCACATGCGCCTGTTGTCCTGGTTGCTTCTCGGCTCCCTTACCCACATGGCTCTGATGCAGCGCCGCCAGGAGACGCACAGCATTCCAACGCCCCTGCCGCCGCAGTCTGGACAGGGAACGGGTCCCACGGCCAGTGTCCACTACCAGCATCAGGGAGTAACATACTCGCAACCAGTGCCACAGGAAGCCTCCTGCCACATAGCCGATCACATTCAGGTGATCTTTGCTGGGTTTGCGGAACAGTCCAAGACCTCTGTGCTGCACATGTCCTCGCTGTTCCACGCCTTCACCCTCTGCCAGCTGTGGACGGTCTATCTGGAGCAGATGGCCCACAATACCAACAGCAATGCAGAGGGCAGCACGTTGGGCGTGCTCTTTGAGTTCTGGGCAAAGGTGACGCCCTGCATCTTGCAATTAGTGTCCCACGCCAAGCCGGCAGTCAACAAGGAGCAGCCGCAGACCCCCTTGGACTTTCAGACGCAGAGCGCCAACTCCAAGCTGTCCGAAATGGTTAACCTGCACTTCCTTAGTCTGCTGGAGGCGCTGAAGGACACCAATTCCACGGTGCTGGGCAAGCTCCTACCCATGTGGAGTCCAGTTCTCTCCTCACAGACGCAACTCTCGGACACTTTGCATGTACGATTGCAGAATGTGAGAGACTATGCACCGGACTACGAGGAGCAGCAGGCCTACAAGTCTGAGGCTCTGCTCAAGTGGCTGCAGCGTTTGCAGTTTAAGATGGGTCAAATCGAATTACAGGCCTCCACGGCCACCCAGTTCTACTCAATCTAAATATCACACACAGTGGGTTATATATGCAGTCTTATTTAGTAATTGTTGCCTACGCGAATAAATAGTTCACAATGTTTCTTGGAAAACGATTAGCAGGAATGGGATTGTGTCGCATGCTCTACTAAATAGTTACTCAAAAACAGTGTAGTGAATGCCACTGGTGGCTGTTCCTTTATCTTGAATTGTGGGATCGTGCACTTCATTCGCCTCGCTGGCTTTTTGTCTGCCTTCGATTAAAAAGCTGGCTTGGGGATCTCGGTAGTTAAGGAAGGCTGCCTTGGTTTTCAGAATGGATTCCTCGGGCAGGCTCAGTCCTGCTGCCATCCTGGACTCCTTTTGCCTGGCCAGTCGCTGTTCAGCCTGCTGAATGCGCACCTCCTGTAATTTAACTGGTTTAAGAATCGATTTTTTCTGGGAAATGAATATGGATACTACCTTAACTCTTTGCATGTAATCCATTTGCAGGGTGGCGGACTCGGCCAGCGGCACTAGTTGCACCTCTTTGTGCTGGATAAGTGGCGGAGTGGCTGCTGTTATCTCCCAGTGCTTGCCTTTCTTGCGCACACGCTCCTTGTCGGGGTCGTGGACATTGGACCTGGTAGTGCGGAATGGCATAAACTTTTCCCTGGAAGGAGTATTCACACTGGTTTCCGTCTTATCAATGAGATAGAGGGCATGCTGATCGGGGGGCAGCTCCTTGCTAAGCTTGGCGGCCACTTGACTGGCGTCTATCTCTATAATCTCGGCCGGCAGGGAACTGGTGTCACTGTGTCCCGCCAAAGCGGAATCTGGAGAGTCGGCTGGCTTCTTGAAGTCCTCAATCTCCGCCAGATCCTGGGCTGTAATGAGATTCGCCGGTGGGGGAATCACCTTGACCTTCTTCTCGTGCATTGTTCCCTGGGCTATGATCTTTAGTGGATCCATCTCCACCTCGTCATCGCTGTCCAGTATGTCATCCACATGGGCGCCTTCGTCCGTGCTCCTGCCATTCCACTCCAGATTGATTAGGGCGATCTTTCCCTTTTCCACAATGTTGAGACCGCTGAGCATTCGAGTCGCCTCCTCCACTTCATCTCGTCGCCTGATCTCCTCCAGCAGTTTGTCGTAGGACTCCTTGAGGCGCTTTCCCTTGTCCGGCAAGTGCAGCAATCTCTTTCTAAGGCGGGAAATCGCAAAAATCAGAGGGGACTCCACAGGTTGACTCCAAAACTCACTTGTTTGAGAGGAAATGCGACTGTCTGTCCTTAATTTCCAGTAGCTGCACGTAGGAAAGGGTCTTTAGATCCTTGCTGTGCTGTTCCTTCAACTGGCTTGTGCCCGGGATTCGACTAAGCGGAGCAGCAATCACATTTTCGCTCATTTTTGCTATTTCGTTTATTTTGGTTTTTGGTTTCTTAAATATATCGGTTATCGGTTTCCACACGAGCTGCAGTGTGACCTTCTATCCCAAAAAATACTAAATATTGCAGGTTTAACGAGGGCTCCATGCTCCGAATGAGGTCTATCAAAATCAAAATTTGCGCGCGGTAATTTAAATTTAATATTTATTTTGCTTTTTATTTTGAACTTATGGTCATTCTTAAATTGTATATATATTAGGAAATATTAGGTTCTGATTGAATCTTTTATTAAGCCTAAGTGATTAAGATATTCACAGATATTTTAATTAACTTACTTTTAAACGCTTAACAGGAATACGCTAAATAGAGATTAACAAAAAATATATTCCTATAATTAGGATAGCGCGCTGATAATCCTAAAACCGTTCAGGGCCTTATTTTATTTATTTTATAAGATTACAATTTCTTTTACTCGAATCTCCGTGCTACAAAATATAAGAAACTCTGTTCGATTCTTGAAAATAAAATACGATTTGCATACCCAAAGCAAGCTTGCCCAAATCCCTCATACATACGTATTAATAGTTTTTATTAAAAGACTTATGGCACACATTTTTTGATGCCGAACGAGGCGATAGTGTACTCTGGACCCTACGAAGTTGGACGACTTCGGCGTCGTAGGGATCGACGGGTGGAGGAGTACCTCTTCAGGCGTTCCATTCGCACCCATATCGCCATGCCCGACATGACCCCGTCTCGCATAGCCAAGCTGGTGCTCTACTTCATTGTCTTCTTCGTGTTGCTCGCGACTTTCACTGGCGGGATGGCCCTGCTGGTAATGGCATACCGATTACCCCCTGATATGCCGATTTCCAAAAAGTTCCCCGGCCTTTGCGCAGTGCCTGGAAAGTGGGTAGGCGACGTGAAGCATATCGTGTGGAGCGATGAGAACCAGAGTGAGTTGGGCGCCATTCGGCGACAGATGTCGCGAGCGGTGGAGCGGTATGGCCTCGAAGGCCAAAGGCGCCTGATGGCCTGCAACCTGGACGACTCCTGGGGCTATGCCAGTGGCAAGCCCTGCGTCCTGCTGAAGCTCACCCAGGCACTGGGCTTCGAGGCGATTACCTATGACCACGGCATCACTCTGCCCGATCACGCGCCGGATGAGCTGTACAACTACTTGTCGGATTTGGGCTTGGAGGCACGGATGAACCGCATCTGGGTGCACTGCCGTCATAAGAAGGAGGAGGGGTTGGATGTTCAGTTTGAATTTGTGCCGGAACGCTTTTTCGACGCGGAGTATCTGTTTGCCACCAAGAATGTCTTTGTGAATCTTACGGCGGATGATGAGACCAGTACTTACACAGAGGATCCCGCCCTTAGACGGATCATTGGCGTCCAGTTCAAGAACATACCGCCCAACACGGACGTCTTTATTAAGTGTGAGGTGTGGGCCAAGAACATCCCGCTCTACATGGGGTCCGTCAGATTTCATGTTCGTCGGACGGCACCTGTTCACCCAACAACTCCATTGTTACTAGACGAGTGGTACGAATGAACCAATCAACAATCCTGTTTTGTTTCTAATGATGTAACGAATTACTATGATATCAATAAACTAATAGTAATATATGCAATTATGGATTATAGTCAGCTTACTGCTGTTTGTGTACACTGTACGTGAGACGGCAGAGAAAATTCAGATCTATCCACAACAGCTTTATTAAAATAAAATAAACAAATTTTTGATCCAGAATTACGGAAGTAATATTATTTTTGTGCCATATGTCGATTTTCCAAACTATTTGCGATAAAATAATTATATTTCCTTAAAAACAAGGCATTTTCACCTTACTCTGCTTTAAATTTCACAGAGAGCGAGAACTACAGATCGATTTTAGAATATATTTTAATTACGTAGTTAGATCCGAGATCTAAACCAGACACCAGGATGCCCGAGGACGTGATGGTGCCCGCGGGGGACTACAAGCTGGTCAAGCAGTTCCGCAGGGAGCAGGAGAAGCGGCGCAAGAAGGACCTTCCGTGGTCGAAGCGGATCTTCGACATAGACGAGCATACGCTGTTTGGTCGTACTGCCTGGGCTTGGTTTCGGATCGTGGGCTTCTATCTGGTCCTGTACAGCATAATAATACTTATAGTGGCCTTTTGGATTGGCATCTTCATGCTGGCGATCATCGATCCGCATAAACCGCGCTGGTTGAAGGGTCCGCCGGGTCTGTCGATGGTGCCCTATAATTCCTCTGCGATCTCCTTCTACGAGCACCTAATGGGCGAGGTCATCCCAATCGCAGACGGCATCGACGCATTTTTGAACAAACTTAACGACGATGCCATTGAGTTCTTCAACGAGTGCAACCAGGACGAAATGTGGGGCTACGTATCGCGGCAGCCGTGCGTCTTCATCAAGCTGAACAAGGTGATTGGGTTCCAGCCGGAAACATACGACACTCAGGACGATCTGCCCAAGGAGGTGCCCTCGGGCCTTGACGAAACTCTGAGGAAGTACGGCCCCACGCCGAAGATCTGGATCACCTGTGAGGTGACCAAGGGACCCCAGCCGGAGATAGTGTTCTTTCCGGGACCCTACTACGAGGCCTCCGAGAAGATGACGGGCGTGCAGCGCGTGGTGGCCGTCCAGATGAACAATATGCCCACCAATTCCGAGGTCCACTTCAGCTGCAAGGTCTGGGCCCGCAATATTCCCATTGATAATAAGTTCCAGGGCAAGGGTCAACTCAAGTTCGCCATGCACGTGCGAGTGGATACTGCCATGGAGAGAGCTGATCCTCCAGCCGAAATGAACACCACAGCTGCCTCAGTGGTCACTGTTCCTATGGCCACCCAACCGGAGATCAAACCCGAAGATCGTCGCGGTGGATTGGAATTGCCCCCCGCACCGCCCAAAGAGGACGACGCGAAGGATAGAAATTTGGATGAAGCCAAGGCCGAGCCTATGACGGAGCCACCAAGCTAAATGAATTGAAAAGAATCTCTTAAAAACCATGCTAGTTATTCATTTGAACAGAGCTCTTTTTGAAACAGGGATCCAAATTAATGTGTGCCATGTACTGTTCTAAAAATCATTGTCTGTATAACTATTCCAAAACAAATTGGTTTAAAATTTTATAGTAGTTGTCTATAATATGATATATTTCATTTTGTTAAATGTATTTTAACTGTTGGTTAGTAAATTTAGCCAAATATATTTGTAAATTTAAAAATGTTTCTTTGTTTTAAAATGTTTTGGAGGATTTGAAAATGATTTTTAAATATCAAGTAGGCTTTTAAAACAGAGTTTTGAAATATAAATCTAAATAAAAATTCAGTTGAGCAACGGGAGTTCCCCCAATAAGTTTCGGTAGCGCACCATCCCTGGACTCATCGCAGCTGCTATCGATGGTCAGCGACGGACGGCGCCCACCACCAAGTGTGACCGTACAAAATCGATACGCGGCCTATCGGAATCGAAGTGTTTTGCATGAACATCGAATTTTAGCTCCGCTCCGACACGCAGTAACTTAATAACAAAAACTCATTACTTATTTATTACTGCCGCCGATTTGCCAGCGCGAAAAGATCCCGATACCAGGCCCAACGCATTCCCCAATTGTACGTCATCATCTGAGTATTAAATCAGCGGCGAATCGCATAAATTGCGATTGATATTCCGCCCGCAAGTGTGCGTGTGTGTGTGTGCGTGCGTATGACTCGTGTTTTTAGCCGACAATTGGAGAAAAAAAACGCCATTAGAATTAAAGTTGGCAAGCTAAACGCCGCTAATTTGGCCAAACATAAACAAAAAGTTCGAGTGCAACGGATTTGGCAGCGAAACAGCAACACCTCGGTGGTTCTGGCAGATATTTAAATTATATATAGAAAGTGCGTGCGAAGGTTAAGCGTCGTCGAGTGCCAGTGCATTTACATTTGGAAATAATAAGTTATATACTTGCGTATATATAAAACACGCCAGCCAATTCGCATTAAATCTAATTTTGTATTTTGTACTCTCTCGCAGCGAATCAAGCAGGAAAATACCGGATAATAATTGGCAAAGATGCAGATCAAAGAATTGTGAGTATGAAATGGTCAAGATTTACCTTTAACCTGTCATTATTATGGGCTAAAAAGCCTAAAAAGCTGGACAAGCCGCAAATTATTTGTGACAAATCGATTTTACGCTCTCTTATCCTTCCCTCTCTCTCTCCCTCTCAGCGTGACGTGACACGAGTCTCTCTCTTACTCTCTCTCTCGTTCTGTAGTTGCTTTTGTTGTATTTAAGTTTGCGGGCATTTTCCGCAACAACAAAATAATGCTTTTCTTATCAGCCCCGTTCTTCGTCCCCGGCCACTCCCCCCTCCAACCATCTCGTTCTATCTCAGGTATTTTGCAGCTGTGGCGATGACGTAACGAGTCTTAAGTTGGCTTTCGAAGCTACGTAATCCAGCTTATTTTTTAAGATTTCTCACTGCTAATTAGTTTTGGAAACTCCTTTGAGTCATCGAAAAAAAGGTATTTACAAAAATAAAGATAATGATTTCAGTCGCTCGGCGACGCCACGTTGTCGATATTGCCTTTTTCAGTGAGTCACTCTCTTTTGCGCCTCTCTCTATTTCCATAACTCTCTTCTCGGCTTTCGGCACTGCGATTTTAATCAAACAAGTTGTTAAGTGCGATAAGGTCGTTGCGTAAACCCCATTAAACCCACTCACTGCATCTGGAATCCTTTTTGGTTCAGAAACACCAGGTGACACTCTTCTCATTTGCAACTGCCTCACGTTCTCCTCCTGCTCATTCCCATCCATTTTGGCAATGATACTTTTAATTTATTAACGGAAATTGCCAAAAGTCTGATACCAAATGGCCCGGCTTATAATTGCATTTGACTTTTTGACAGCTGACGGAAAAGCGAGGAAAGTCTGAGCAGATTGCACATGAGATTGAAATTGAAAACTCAAACAGACAATCTCACTCTTATCATTTTATTTCGTTTTCTATAGGCGTCTCTTACACAATCTTTCACATCAAACTGATTATTAAACGCCGATTGAATATAAAGAGAGTCTATTACTGATAATTGATTGATAAGTGTTTGCGCTTTGTAGAGCTTTTAATACTTATTTAAACATTTGTTGGATTAAGGTTTTAAAAATGGAGAAATATACAGTTCTAAATGAAAATAAACTTTGTTTTTCAAAAACGAGTCAAGATTATAATATGAGTTATATTTTTTATCTCAACAATGAATAACCTAAATATTACAGACCTCATTTTTAACAATTGATATACAAGTTGTTCACAAATGAAAAAAGGAATATGAATAATTTAGATTATTAATAAAATGTATTTAAGCTTTTAATATTTCCCATATGGGCAAACATACATACTATCTTATAAAGGGGTGCTAAAGAAATCTTTTCCATCCGTATACCAAAAGTACAAAGGATAGTGTAAATTTCAGTGCTGAATTTATGAACCTTTTTAAGGATCATGAGGGTCATTTAAGGTCACTGAGTTTTACTATACATTGAAGCTTTTTGTAAGAGTCTTTAACGGCATTTCAGGTTTTAAAACACCCATAAGTTGACAGGCAATCTTCATGTGCGGCATTAATGTTTAATTGTTCTCGATGTCGTAATCCCCACACGAAGCCTTTAGCATTTGCATATCAAAATGTTTTTTTCTGCCAGATTTTCGCATTTTTTCGCCTGCCGGCTGGTGGAATGTAAACCATTTGGCAATGAAAATTTCAGCACCATCATTAAATGAAAAATAAAGGTGGAAATAAAGGCAACGCGTGCCAGAGCAGGTTGCTGCAGGTTGATAAACAATTTTAAATGGCCAGCGGGCAAAGTGGCCGAATGATTTAAAAGCAGCAGAAAAGTTACAAAAACAGAGTGTGATAGGCTGCACTTTGCATGTTTGATCTGATATTGCGTTTTATTGTTTACAATAAGGCTTTAAGTGCTGCACTTTGTTTGTTGACATAGAAATGTGGGTAATGGATTTGGAATAACAATTGATTGTGGACAAACAATGCGGCTTAAGTTGTCTGATAGCAATCGGGCCATTAACTTGATAATTGATGAAATTAAATGGGTAATTAGAACTGAACAAGATAATTCCTTTTTAAAATAAATTAATATCATGAAATAATGAGTTTCATTTTGTGAAGTAAGTAAAGATTTCCATGTACTTTGAATGGTTTCCTTTTTAAATGTAAATTTTGAAACATTTATACGTGACAGTTGTGCTGTATTTCTTTCACACCTTTAGACAGACTCCCCTTTATAGGCCATATTACCATTATGGAGTGCATGGTTTTTCAACTTTAAACCTTCCCAACTTTGATCTCTGAAAGCAAAACCTTGTTGTTTTCAATGTCAGTCCTCGATGGTACTCGTCATAAAAAAAACCAGCTGTAGCGTGACTTTTACTGCCCCAACTGATTGGCTCACTTTGTACCCCACATATGTATCCGTCAGATACAGCACCTCCCTTCCCACTTCCCCCATCGTTCGACCATCCCGCAATCAATTTGAAAATGGCACGAGCTCCAATTTAGTTCCGCCATTTGTGTTTTTTTTTATGTACCGAGATAAGATAACACACAGTGTTTGGTTTTCGGGTTGTGTCCGTAGTATTACTTCGCAACGGCACTGTACTCATTATACATTTGTAGAGTGTGAGGTTTCGATTGTTTCGAAAATGGTTGGTAATTGAGTGTGACTGCGGCTAAGCGCCAGCACTGAAATAGGGGAGTATGCTACAATCGCAATTGGGGCTAGCCGCAAAGCAAATAGTCCCGGAATTGGCTTTCGTTTATCCAAAAATAAAGTTGTATGTTGAACGAAACTTTAAATAATAAGTATAATTTAACATGTTTAGATATTTTTAGGCTCCGTTTTATACATTATCCTAAGATATTGTTTGTAAGAAATGACGTTTCATATAAGACTTTTAGATATAGACAAGTTAGAAGATGTCAAACCTTACAATTTCAAAACAAGATCACTATTTCCAAATATGTTGACTGCTTTTCAATTTAATAGCATTGTTTTCAGGTAGAGTCTTAAGACAAGGGCTTTAATTTCAAGCTTCAATGACTCGTTGCTCTGTTATTCATTGAGTCCACTGGGCAATCTCTCTGTGACATCTTTATTGCGGCTAAATCAATTATTACTTGGCTTCGGCCTTCAATTGCGGCAGTGGCCAGTGGGCGGCCCTCAATGATGGCCAGTACAAGAGCCGTGGCCAAGAGCTTTCCCCTCGACCCACCCACACACACTCGCTTACCGATGCGGACACACAGTGCCCCAAACAATCACTTTCCATTTTCAATTATGCCAACAAGAGCAAACAATTTCCCTTGTTCATGGCCACAAAAGAGGGTTGAATGCGGGGTCTCCCGAGTGTTTCTTTCGGCAACTTTGGTCTCATTAAGAGTTCTTCAATATTCTCTGGCTGTTGTTTTTCCCCTTCCTGACCCTACACTCCTCTCATATGTGGTGATTTCTTTTATGTTTCTGTTTTTGCATAATTTCTTCATTGCTCCAATTGTGCTCTGATTCACAGAAAACCCGTCTATATCGTTTGATCTTTCGCATTTGGGGATATGCGACCCAGTTAGATGTTGTTTTGGCTATTTATGGAAATTTATTTATTTATTTCTACTTAACTCATTGGGACAGAACACGTTCTGCTTCTCTTTTTGCCCTTCGCCATTTTCGAACGATTTTTCTTCCTCTGGTCTTTCGAGATTTTACGAGTTTCGTTAGCATTTCCCAGTAATAATATGCCTTCTTTGTTGTTAAAGAAAAAAAGTTTGGTAAATGAAGGCTGAAGAAGAATTTTTTATGGGCCATTTGTTTGCGCAAAAGTTTTACAATCTGATTTGATTAAACGACAAATGCTGCGTGGCAAGTTGTTGAAAAGAAAAGTTATACTGTTTGTATAATTGAATGATTTCATGATATTGTTGGATTAAAAATGCTGATGATTATCACTTGAAGAATGTTAGCTACTCCTTAAAAGATAGAAAATTACTTTTAATTGATTCAAAGTCAAAACAAACAACAAACAGTTTGCCTTAAAGGCTCTGTGTTTAATAAAAGTTTAATCAATTATCTTAAGCGGAAGTCTTTATTTCACCCCGATGAACTTGATATTTTAGAACCTAAACCCATCGTTTTGCAGTGATTAAGTAGAGTTCAAAATAAGTTCATTAACAATTAAACACCGCAAAACAAAGGTACAGCTTTCCCGAAGTCTAAGTCCCTTTATAGTTCTAACTTTTCGGGGCCCTTGCCACCGCTACACGCACACACTGCTAAATCATCCGTCTTGTTTGTGGAAATCCCCCAGATGAACTCAGGCGAAAGTTTAACATAAAAAGAGGGGCTTTCCACCACCTCACCCCCATAAAGCATTGCTCTGCGAACTTTAACCTTTTCAGGGGCGGCGCGTAGTTTGCCAACTTTTGAGTGGGCCACATTAAAGTCTTGCTTGCTCCCCAAGTGCCACGCCTACCAGTTGCTCGAGTCGGCTGGCAATTAGGAAACACATCATTACGAGTGTCAACAGTGGGCCAAAAAGGTTAATTGCGTCTGCAAGACACCCGGCAAACAAAGCACCGAATTTCCCTCCCCCGACCTCACTTTCTCCTTTCTCCCGTCACTTTGATTGTTCTCGAGTCGTGTCGTGTTTTCTTCTGTCGCATTGTTTGGCATTTGTGTTTTGTGTATTATATTATGTGTGTAGGGAGGCGAGAAACGGATGACAGGCCATAAAGCCAGGTTCATGTTCTTTATGGCCAAGGAGCTCTAGTTCGCAGTTAGCAGTTCGCACCTTGCGAATGCATGCCAAGGCTTCCTCGCACCGGGGGAGCAATTTAGCCCTTACTCGCCGGGAAATATTTCATTTGCCAAGCCGTTGACTGTTGACTTTCCTTGGATTACAGTTTGTAGCTAAATTTTACCTTCAGCATAAGCGTGGTAAATTCCCGGGGCACAAGGCAAAAACACCAATCTTTTTAATGCACATTTTATATTAGTTCTACTATGCACTTCATGAATTTAAGTATTCGATTTTATTCTTTCTATCTTAATATGGATTTAATAGTCTGCGAAATTAATGGAAACTGTTCTGCATCGTTAAACCTCAAATGTAAATATTGCCAGATGATTTTAAGTCAACAATGCAAGTTCATTAGAAGTTAAATATTTGAAACTATTTAAAGAGTAAAATATATTTGAAAGGACTTTTTACAACCATTTTATGCATTTTAAATAACTATTTCATGATGTCCCCAAAGAGCATTCCTTCTTCGTTGATGCTATACTCCCCCAGAAGCTGGTAAAATTTTTGCAATTAAATTGTCGCCGCCAAAAGCGCAACAAAAGTCAAGCGATGCGAACAAGTTTCAAGGCTGGCATAATTATATGCGTTCCCAGAACATTTCCTGCCCCGCATCCGGGCCCTTTTTGGTAATTAGAGGATGAGTATGTGGTCCGGAAGTGGGTGGTTGGGCTGGGGATCCCAAACTTATATGCATGCAAATAAAATCAGAAAAGGATGTTGAAACTTTCATGTTGCCAGCACTTTTTAGGTTTTTTTGCAATGCAATGCTACGGCCCACTTATGTAAGCTTTTAATTAAAAATATTCATTTAAATGGTGCAGCGAAAGTAACTTTCTTCGCCAGACATGGTTAAGTAGTCCTCAAAATAATTTGACATGATTTTCATTTAAATAAGACCACTAGTTTGTATCTTATCTTGCCAAGTATCAATCGACTTCAATTGTTTGCCTGTAGATTAAGTTGTAAATGGCCATTCTAGCAAGTGGCCATCAGATAGTTTGTTTGCATACTTTGGGGCTTGAGTGCATTGCACAGACATTGTAAAATCAGCGTTGAGTTCTAGTAATTATGAGAATTTGATGAAAATGTGGGCCATACAGCTTGGAAATTGAAGTAACCCAAACAATTAGGCAAAATTAAATTATCTTTCAAGTTGCATTACTCAGTTTGATATAGTTATTATGTAATTATCGATTTGAGTCCTTTATAGTATTGACGGAACTGTAAAGCAATCGAGATTGGACAAATTCTGCAGTAAATTAAATTGAATGCAGTCAACCCATAAACTATTTCTATGAAAGGCTGCTGACATTTATTGTTTGCCAACGTTTTACCCCTTCGATTGCAGATAACACAATGGGATTACGATTTACCTTAGCACTGAAACGTAATCTGAATAACGTTCCCTTTAAAGTGATATAAAAACAGGTTGTTAATTGAATTTCCCTGGTTATTGTTAATTATTTTCATATTTCCCACTCTGACTTAACCCGATATACCCCGTATATACAGTTGATACCCTTAACTTAACAGCCCTTTGTATACGGGCCGGGTATTTAATTAAAATTGTTATATTAAACTTAATTAAAATTGTGTAGCCTTTATGCATACACTTGCTGACACAGTCATTGTTTTTTGTTCTCGTTGCAGCCGTGTGACTTTGCCATTGACTGTGGAAGAGGTAAGGGGGTCGACTGGTGGAAAAGCCCGCCCTTTTGCAGAGAATAACTTTCACATCTCTCCACTTTCTGCTTTCCGCTTTACAGTATCAAGTTGCACAATTATTCTCGGTGGCCGAGGCGTCAAAGGAGAACACGGGAGGCGGCGAGGGCATCGAGGTGTTAAAGAACGAACCCTTTACAGACTTCCCCCTGCTGGGTAAGTCATTTACGATATGTAATTAATAACTCCGGGTAATCATTTTATTTCATTGCAGGTGGGAAATACAATTCCGGTCAATATACATATAAGATCTACCATCTGCAATCAAAAGTTCCAGCCTACATTAGACTATTGGCACCCAAGGGCTCTTTGGAGATCCACGAGGAGGCATGGAATGCTTATCCCTATTGTCGAACGATTATCACGGTAAATATGGGAGCTATATTAAATAGGTCTACAAATGTGGGAGATAAAAAACCAACTAAAATATCCTCGGTTCCGTTAACGACTCACGTGAACCCATCTGATTACTCTGATTATATTACAATTCTAGAACCCCAAATTCATGAAAGAGGCTTTCAAAATAATCATCGACACGCTGCACGTCGGCGATGCGGGCGATTCAGAAAATGTAAGTCGAGGAACCAAAGCATGATCTAACTAACTTGTGTTCTCTTCTTTTCTCTCCACAACATCCATCCACTCATCTCATCCATGCATTTGATTGTGAAAACTAACTAACTATCCGCGACTAACCACATTCGATCAACATGCAATATGATTTTGTCGAAATTCCACAACCCTTTTCTTTTGGCTTGATTTGGTTTTGGTTTGGTAATCATTCGGTTTTCGGTTAAGAATCCTGGTTATATGAATAAAAACTTCAAAGTAGATGTATATTCGCAACACATAGAAAATGACATTGGCACTATTGAGAACGTGAGTTTTGTTTATATTTCATTTTATTTGCTGTCTGCTCTGTTCAGCTTTGTAGTTTGAGCCGCCATCGATCCATGTGCACGTCTATGTAGTTAACGCTTTAAATGTTCCATTTATCCCGATTAAAATGAGTGGTTCTAAGATATTTTGCTCCGGTTTTCGCCCTTGCAGGTGCACGAGCTGACGCCGGATAAGCTGAAAATACGAGATGTGGTGCACATCGACATTGCCAACGATCCGGTGCTGCCTGCGGACTACAAGCCCGATGAGGATCCAACCACGTAAGTGATATTGTGGCATGTTCCATTGAAAGTTTTAAGTTAACTTTCGATCATCCTTTTAGCTACCAGTCAAAGAAGACGGGTCGCGGTCCCCTGGTGGGAGCCGATTGGAAAAAGAGTGTCGATCCTGTCATGACCTGCTACAAGCTGGTCACGTGCGAGTTCAAATGGTTCGGCCTGCAAACAAGAGTAGAGAATTTTATACAGAAATCGGAGCGCCGCCTCTTTACAAACTTCCATCGGTAATTGCTTTACTAAATAGGTTCATATGGCATTTTAACGCCTGATGGATATATTTCTCTTTGGCAAAGTCAACTTTACGCAATCCTTGAATGCACGCTTAAGTAAAATGAATCAACATAATAGTTAAAAGGCCCCAACCCATCGAAGTGTAGTTTTATTAACAAAATATTAACGAATTCATTTGTTACCTTTCTTTTTACCCATAACATTTTTTGTGTGTGGATATCAGAAATAATATTTAATTAATTGTAGTGAAATAAAGTAGTCATTTTACTAAAATGTGATTTAAGGAAAAAGAGAAATATGTCGAGGCATGCTTTATAACAGCTATAACTAAATTCCAACGTAACTTTCTAATATTCAGTTGGAAATGGTTTGAGTAAGAGTTCTATAAGAGACGATTATACTTCTTGTCTGTAATAATGTTTGATCGATTTTAAAGGAAATTCGGATTTGATCCTTTCTCTTTCCCATTTCAGCCAAGTTTTCTGTTCAACCGATCGCTGGTACGGTCTAACAATGGAGGACATCCGCGCCATCGAGGATCAGACGAAGGAGGAGCTGGACAAGGCGCGGCAGGTGGGCGAGGTGCGGGGAATGCGCGCGGACGCCGATTAAATCTAGTAGAAAATTGTAAACAAACTATGTGTATGTAAAATCCAGGCAAAACAAGAACTAAAAGGCAAAACAAAGCAAAGCAAAACAAAACAGATAAATGAAATTGAGATAAAATTGCATAAATAAATTTACGATACAAACAAACACCAAGCAAACAAAATGAAACGAAATTAAAGCAATGTGAAGCCACAGCAGCGTCAAGTGAAACAAAAGGCAAGCTGAGCAAACACCAAGTGTACGACAACCGCAGTAACAGCAACAAAGCTTAGTTCTAGTGTAGCACACGACAACAAATTAAAGAGCCCGAGAAACGGCTGCAACCGCAGTAAGTTAGTTAAGTTCCTTCCACTGCACTGTATGTAAAATGTAACCAGGCTACAGGATGCCGAGCAAAACACACACAGGACATCTGTTGACGGTACTCTGCTCCACGCATGGCCTGCCCTGCCCTGCTTCACGTCAAATCCAATTGTTTAAGTTGCATTTTGTAAATTGTGAAATAAACCAAATGACAGTTAATGTAAAAAGTTAAACGCAAACATCCGACCTGTATGAATAACCGAGAAACGATCTCGAGAGGAGGGCTTTAGAGAGGGTGGGTGCATTTTGAATATGTGATTTTCTGAGAATATGTACATAGGCATGTCTATTTGCATACATTGGCTATGCATCTGTGGTCTGCATTTGATTTGCATTTCAAAAAGTCAATGTAACAATCCAATCCCAAGATAACCACGAGTTGGCGTAGAGTTTGCGGGAGGGTCTTAGATTGGATTGACTGAGCAAACAGTTGCCTTCCATGGGTTAGTTTGAATGATTTATGAACCGCTGCGAGCTACGATTGCATTATAGGCTATCAGGCTATCTGGCTGCGAGCAATATTATTCTAAGATTGTAACGGGATTTGCCCATTCTCAAAAGTTTTCGAACACACCACAACAACACTAGGAAACTGCCAATATCTGAAATGCCCAAATAAGAGGAAATCCTTAAAGTAAACCACCTTAGATACACCGTACTCTTCTGCTGTAGGCACATATCCTCAAAGTCGCCTCGAGTTTTTTACTATCTGCCACTTAATTCTGCTCAAACGAAGAAATATGTATCTCTTGAAATCTATGTAAAACTAATGATCTATCTATGAAACGTCCATTTTAAGGCTCTACCTCTACCAAAACCAAAAATATTAAAAGCTTTTAACAAAATTATTAGTGAAGCTATATTTTCAAGATTAAAAAACACACTCATCTCATGCCCAGTAAAAAGGATAGAGGAAAAAATAAAAGGCGTATGAATTTAATGGAACCTCATAGGCTTAAAGCAGTCGGCTAGCACCATATGGTAATGGGTATGGAAATGGATGTGGGCTGGGGAGAAAAAGAAATCAGGGGATTTAAAATGCATTGCATACGCAATGGGGACAAGCAGCTTTTTATTTTTATAGCCAATCGGTTTGAACACAGGCATCCACTTAGCACACAGAATGCATCAGCACAATATTATACATTTGTACATACATCCAGAAGGACACTTAAACCGGGGGAGTACTTTAAAAAAATATAATAATGATAAAAGCAAAATGCGTTACGAGATATTCCATAAAGTATAAATTGCGTCAAATTGTTATTTGCTGTGAGTTCTCGTTCGTTCTCGTTCGTTGGTTGATTGAATTGGTTGGTTCGATTATTTATTCAGCTATACTACGCATATGTGTGTGAAATTTACATTTACCAGAAAAATAACTTTTTGCCAAGCAACGCTCTAAATGTTTACTCGAATTTACTTCAACTAATTCAGATTCAGAGGATGTGGAATGTCTAAAGATAAATGCTTATTTCCTACGAAGGACTGATTCGAGGAAGGTTCTTGTAGGGGGTAGCGAAAATCTCGGCCTGGTCGAGCTTACGATTTTCTCCAATTTTATTTGTAGCAAACTGTCGAGGGACTCAAACTTCAACAATAACTCCTTTTAGGTCCCATCAAACCCCTACCAATATCTCATTTGTATGGCACACATCTAGAAGGAACACCAAAATTTAGGCATTAAAATAAAATATACACCACAATTTAGACAAATTATAAGATACCAAACGGAACTCTCATTAAACGAAAGGCAAACGAAGTACGGATCAATAGATCAACATAAAATTAAATTTCAATATTTGAAATAAATTCGCGTTCAATTTTTCTCGTAAAAACAAATAAAACTAAAACCAAAAACTATTTAATTAATGCTGTTAATTAACATATAATTTGATAACGTAATACAAATGATAATAATAATTATATATATATACACCATTAACGATTTTTAAAAGTAAGCTGAATAAAATTGATATATGAGTAACACGTTATAAGCTGTTAAAAATAAAACGAAACCAAATAAAACAGATACAAATTGTATTGTAGTAATTATTTTAATTGAAGAAAATAAAGCATTATTAATGATATATATATAATATACGACTGGTAATAGTTCCTTTATTGTGTAAACGGGTAAAACTTTAATGGGGATACATTATTTTAGACTGCCACATCGGCCAGCCAGAAGAACTGGCGCACCTCCTCCTCGTTGGAGGGCCTGCAGTGCGGGGGCGGGGTGATCAGCGAGTTCCGGAGCGCCTTCATGGCCAGCATGTTGCGCTTCACGTCCATCGAGAGGTCGATGATGCGCTCCGGGTAGTGGACCCCGATCAGGCACTCGTACTGCTCCTGCTGCTCGGCGGACATTCGCCAGGGCTCGTGGCTACGGAAAAAAGTAATAAATAACCAAAAATTATTTTATTTTAAGAATTAAATATTAAAAAACTGTTAAAACTCTTAAGTTTGTTGATTTCAACTAAATAAGTTAGTTACTTTAAATGAAGTGATAAATAAATATCTAAAATTGCGTATACGACTAGTTGAACATTACAAATATATATCTGTAGTATTAAAATAGTTGTTGCTGTAACTCGGTGGAACTAAAATGATATTTTACTACTAAAATAATTGTTCGGCCATTTAAGTGGTAAACAGTAAACCAATTATTGGTGTACTTTAATCTTTGAGTTATAAGTTTAAATTTAATTATTCTTGATAAAGCTTTGATTCTATGATCCAGACTTGAAAACATTTTTATTATTCCCGTTGCTCGTAGATAAAGAGTATAATAGATTTGTCGGAAAATATGTAACCATAAGGTATATATATATATTCTTGATCAGGATCATTAGCCGAGTCGATCTAGCCATGTCCGTCTGTCTGTCCGTCCAAGATCTCGGAAACTATAAAGTTAGATTTTGGGACTTGGCATGCAGATTCTTGAGCTTCTTGCGCAGCGCAAGTTTATTTCAGCAGGGTGCCACGCCCACAAACGCCCATAACGCTAAAACATTTTTGAAGATGTTGGAAAAAAGTAAATGCAATGCCAATAATGGCGCAAATCGGACTCATTAAAAAGTTATAAGAAAATAAAGTGTGAAAACTTGGTTACAGTCGCGTTACTGCTTTCATATCTCCATCTCCCTCGGACTTAGCTAAGTAACGGGTGTTAGAGATAGTGGATGGCATAAACTATAGCGTTCTCTTTTGTTTTTGGTTAACTTACTGAAAACTTAAAATTTCAAGTAAACATGGTTTTCTTTTCTAAAGCTAAGTATATTGCGTATACGACTAGTTAAACATCACAAAAAGTTTCTTTAAACTCTTGAAACTGAAAATAACAAAATATATTATTTAACAAAGTACGTAATATAAAATAAACCAGTTATTGTCTGATAGAGTTCAAGTAAATATCTTTAAATTAAGAATTTAAATTTAATAAGTATTAACAAAATATAAAATATAAATATAAATATCAAATAAACCAGTATTGTCTGATAGAGTTCAATTAAAATATCTTTAAGAAAGAATTTTAAATTTAATACCTATTAACAAAAGCTTCGTTAAGAATCAAAAAGAAACATTTTATGTTGCTGTAAACTTATATCCCATTTAAATGGGTTTATTCCTTATGTTCTTAGGTTCTAGCTCTAAAACTCACACAAATTCCTTGGGCACGCTCATCACTCCGGGACGTACTGCTTGATGTAGGCCCCTTCGGGGTCAAGTCGCTTGGCCAGGGCCACCGGGCAGGTGACCAGCGAGGAGTCCAGCAGTCGCTCGAAGGCCGAGCTGGAGACCCACATCCAGTTGCCGGCGCAAACCGACCAATCGGCGTCCAGGAGATACTTCAGGAAATGCTGCAGGCCGTGCTCCCAGCTCTGCCACATGCCGCCGCGCGTAAGAAAGGTGGCCACCGTGTTGCGCAGCGTGTGGTGGAGCCATCCCTCGGCCAGGAGCTGCCTCATGGCGCCATCGATGAGCGGGAATCCCGTCTGACCCAGGCGCCAACGCTGCAGCAGGTCCTCGTTCGGCTTGGCCCACGGAATGGTCAGGCAGATCTCATTGCCTTCCATGCGATCGTAGTTGGGATTGTTCACCGACATGGTGTAGAAGTACTCGCGCCAGATCAGTTGACCCGTGATGTGGGCTCCACCAGTCATCTGAACACCGCGGACACAGGCACGCAGCTGGACATTCTTGAAGAGATCATGGACGCTCCAGTAGAAGCGTCGCACCGAAAGGCAACCGAAGCGCAGATGGGCGCTCATTGACTTGGGCGTATCGTGGATATTGGGCAGCGCCTGGTTGGGCAAATAGAAACCCCGCTCAAAGGCATGTTGCTCCACCTTGAGACGCTCCTCCAGCAAAAGTAAGGCCTGCGTTTCCCCACCACGCCAGTTGATCTTGGCCAGGAAACCCATGTTGTCGCCGTACACGTTGAAGTGCTCCGGCGTAGGCATCTCCTCGAAATAACCAAGACTCCGGCGCAACTCTGGAGCCAGCTCCACGAAGGAGGCATCATCCAGTCGAGGATCGGCAGCAGGACGAGGCGGCAACCCGATAATTTGCACCGTGTGCTGGAGGTTCAATATTTATTTTAGGGCTAATTTATGTAATATTTCTTTAAGAAGTTACCAAAAACATCTGGTAGGTTAGCGGCGGAATGCCACCATTAGTGTCGATCACCGTGCGCGGATCCCACAACGTGTGCGACACCTTTTCGACCAAGTCGATGCTCAACTCCCGGCATAGAGAACGGATGGTCTCATCGCGCTCATTCCAAATGGGCTCACAATCCTGCTCTATGCAGATCCTGTGCAGACGCACTTGCTCGTTCAGCCGCCGGAAGATATGCGCCGGTTCGCCCTCGAAGACGTGGAGGCGTCCACGTCCTTCGGTGGCCAACTGCAGCTGGTCATCAAGGTCCTGCAACGAATCCAACAGGAATCTCATCCGGTTGTAACCCACGCTCTTGGTACCTATTTAAAAAAAAAATAATTTAAAATTCATTTTGGATTCATTACATTTTTAACTATTCCATCCAACGCACTTATTAAATGTTACGTATGCACTACATGTTAATATCATGTCAAGTGAATATAATACGGAACAGTTTTTACTGTTTATTTATGAGAACCGTAGAAGGAAAATATACAAAAATTTAATATCAAAA